CAGTTCATCACAATTAAAGCAATTATCTTTTTTATTATAATTGTCAATGAGAGTATAAAGGACAGTGGTTTGACTTTCTGTAATAAATGTTACTCTGGGTTTTCTAGTTTAACTTATTTAAAGAACTGCCCTTTCATTTCTATAGATGTAGAGCACCCACACACCAAAATATAAAGAACCTCAAAACCACAAGAAAGGCATGTAATAGTGATAATCTTTTTAATATCCTCTCGTTACCGAAGATAAGAAAATTCTCATCTTCTGTTGAGACATCTGCCTAAGGTCCTCTTTCAGAAACCTTCCTCATACCATTCTAATTTCCACCTAGACATCTGAGCTCCAAATGTAAATTAAAGATTCTGGAGATTTAAAAAACAAAACACATTTTGGAAGTGATTCCTGACCTTCAATGGATAACCAGCTATGTTCCTTCTGTTCCCTGCCCAGTCTTTTAGATGGTTCAGTATTTATTCCCCTTGATATTTAATTTTCTTCATTTCTTGAACAAATTCAAAGACAGTTTGCCAAGAGTGCAAATAAGATTTTACAGTACTGTAATAGGCAAACCTAAGCCAGTCTTGGATGAAACTATTCAAATATGCAGGCCAAAAACAGAAAACAATGTATTATTCTTTTTTTCTGCAATATTTTGGAATGTGTAAATGTGGGTAATTTTGGAATGAAACATCACAACCAAAATATACTAAATAGAAGAAAATACAACAGTGATAAAGCAATTCAGTACACAAATTAATACAGAAATTGATGGTGATTAAATGAACTAATAGTGAATTAAAACTAAAGAAAAAGGACGAAGCAGTGCATATAATATAAATATAGAACTAGCTATACCTACAGATACCCAATTCCTCTTTTAGAGTCTGTGGATGCTTGAGAATAGAGGTACTACTTAATTGTAAGCACTGAAAATACAGTACATTCTTGCTGTTACGGTCTCAACAGGACATCTTCTTATTAAAGTTGTAGTCTCAGCAGGAGGGAGACAAACTGAAGAGGGTTTGATGACTATAAAACATACCAGTATTACAAGCAAAAATGCATCAAGCAAATTAATATTTTCATGATAGAATAATAAATGGATGGTTAAATGGATGGGTAGACAGACAGATGATGTTAGATATTCTAGCTATGTGGTACAGTATGTTTGTGTCTCCATCAATTATTCCTTTGTAAAAATTGTGAAGTAGATATTTCAATGGCATTAACACGTTTCAAACAGTTATTAATACAGGTCATTTTTCCTATTGTCATTCTTCAAGCAGACTTTATCACCTAATCTTGCTGCTAAGAATGTAAAGGCATCTAGTAGACTGTGGAACACTACAGTAATTGATGGGGTGGTAGAATAAGGATTGTTCTCATCTCATTAACGCCTTCACAGCAAAGGTACATGTAGTAACTCATCTGAACATAAGACTAGGATTATAATTCTTCTGGAGGGCTATATTTGGCAATTCTCTTTTGAACTGAAATAGAGATTAAATATGCGTTCATCCAGAGATATGGGGCATTTTATGTAGGACACCATCACTTCTGTTATTTTAATTAGCAGTAGGAATTCCCAGGTGTTCCTTTTTTTCCCTTGTATGGTTACCATAAACAACCTAATGTAATTACTGGAACATTCTTTATTTTCTTTTCAAAATCTAAAGAGTTTATCTAAAAATTCAGCCTTCAGAATCCACAGATATACAGAGTTTTTTTTAAAATACCTGATTGTCAGCCTATGAATATGCATTTGCAATGAATGGCATACTCTTAGTTGAGATCAGTAACATTATCATATTGATAGTGAAGAACAAGAAGAATAATCTCTACTATTAATCTGCAGAAACAGCTTAAAGAAGGAACTGTAATATTAATTATTCAATCATTGAAAGACTGTTGGTTTAAGGAGATATTATAAGATTTTTTCCCCCATTTCCATCCGTGCTTCAAAAATCAAGGAAATTGGAATAAAAAATTAGCATTTTATAATCTGAACCACATAAGCTGCAGAGAACTGGTTCGTCATACATAACAATTGAAATTCTTTTTTTAAAAAAAAGAATTAGTATGATGATTTACAAAACAAGAAATGTTCCAATTATAGATTGGTCTGGGATATGAAGATAGAGAGAACTCTCTGTCCAGGGACATCTAAGAGAGGAAGAGGTGTCATAACCTGCAAGAAGGCAGATGTGTGTTGCATTCACTATTTTGCAGCCTGAGACTTGTCCATGAACACCTTGGTTTTATAATTCATCTTGGACCTGAACTATTGGTATTTAGCTAATCTTAGAAATCCCTTACTGCTCCCATTTCCTCTTTTGGATCTCCCCATCTTCCTTTGCTTTCTCATCCTATTCTCTGTGGCCAGAGAGTCCAACTCCTCCCTTCAGAGGCCAACACTATTGTATAGAGCCAACTATATCACTTCCTGAGCCACCTTTGAACCTAGAATGGACCTAGCTATCACGGTTCAGAGGACCTTGTGCAAATAATTCTACAGGATTAAGCCCTAGTTATCTCATGTTCACATCTCTGAGTAACTTCATCTGCCAAATAGCAACCCTGGAGATTATCCTGCGGCCCATCCATCCCAAGCAGATAATGGGTCATTTTAAGCAGGGCTGTTGGGTGGCTATCAGCAGACACAGTAAGAACAAAGAAATAAAGGCGCTTTGTTGTGAAGTAATCCCAAATATGGGCTCTTACTCGTATAAAATCAGATTCCTCTTCATTTTCCTCCAATAGTCCGCTAGCTGTCTCTTCTGGCATTTCATCTCCTGAGCAACTCAGAGAACAAAGTTGGGCCTAGGATCTGCACACAGGGAGAGGGCACATCCAGCAGGAGCAATGCAGTCCAAGGTTAGGTTTCAGGGGAAATCCCTTGCTTGCTTTGGATCTCACTGGGTCCATTAGTTGCCCTGGGCAGATTGTTCTAATACAACCCATCTCCTCATGTGGATGGGTGATATCAGCAAGTTGAAAGGCAGATAGTCCAAGTCCAGTCCAAGTTAGATCACATTGCTACTCCCAAAGACAAAAATCAGACCTACCTTGCAAGCGCTGGCAAACGTCTGGCCCACTGTCCTCATACAGCCAAGCCAAAAAACCAGCACTGGCTCCAGAGGCAGCAGAAGATCCAAGAAGCCCACAGAAGAATCAAGGCCAAGTCTTGCAAGGCCACCAGGTCTGCCATTTGAAATACCATCTTTCCAACCATGAGCCACTCCTTGCCAGCTCCCAGTCCCATCAGGTCCAGCTGGTGCAAACAAGCCCTGTTCCATTTCCAGCTCACTGGCTGCTTTTGCAATAGCTCTACCACTAGTCCATCATAATCCAGATGTTCTGAAGGCTTGTATCTATCAGTATTTTGAGGTTGTTTGGATCAGGGAACAGAGTCTGTAACAAGACTAGAATTTGAGTTATATTAACAGAATCCTGGAATTTTGCTTCCTAATACTATTTCTGAATATGTCTTCTGAATATTTCACTCAATGCGACTTCCATAGCCCCACTCTTGCCTCTTTTCTCTGCTCATCCAGGTTCTCTTTATCTCCAAGAGCTCCCAGGACTGTTTGAGAGTCAGCAGAGATCATTCCTTATGGATATACAGTATATACTTAGGCAACTATAGGTAAGCTTTTCATTTCTCGATAACAGAATTTATACACACATACTCTTATTTCTTCTTTTAAGATATACATTCAGAGTCATGCTGTTTTAATAATAATTCACAAAATTCTTAAATCAGCTTTCAATTTACATTTTAACTAGTTATTATGAAACATAATGTATGACATACTACTGGAGGTCAGCAGAGACATATTCTTTTTAGTTGACAGATAGATTCTGCGTGTTTCACATAATCTTTCATCTCTAACAGCATATTTATGTCATTTATACATTTATACACATGAAGCATATCTATTTGATATATGAAAAAAGTTGCCAAGGACTTAACATTTCTGTTTATTATTTGTCAATATAATGTTAACATTTTGTTCATAATGAAAGAGAGACTAAGCCAAGCACATCCCAATAAAAGAACCAAGATTTATTCTGGCACTGGAAAACATAGTTGTTTATAATTATAATCCTAACTTACATCTCAGTTTCTCCTAGTTTATTTTTATATTACATTAATTTGTTGAAGATATTAATAAATAAAAACAAATCAAAATTGGTTGAACAAGTATAATTAGCTTCCTTTTCATAGGATCACTTGAGCTTGTTTAGTAAGTCATGCCTGTATAAAATCCTAACTTAAGAAACTCTTCCTTAAACTATAATGTGGAATGTATATTGATGTAATAATATTTGAATCATGAATTTTAGACCAGGGCTTTTCAGCCAGTGGTACGGGTGGCAGGTGGTACGCGGCCATCCTAGAAAAGTAGTAGCAGGGGAGGGGAATGAGCTGAACCGATGGCAGCACCTCACAAGCCTGAGCGAGAGACGGCTGGAGCTGCAGGGCTGTCAGGGCTCAGCGGAAGCGCCAGGATCAGTGCCGCTTTCCAGCTGATTGGCGCTTCTTCAGGACTGTCAGGGCTCAGTGGAAGCGCCAGGATCAGCGCCAGGCTCCAGCTGGAGCTCGGCGCTGATCCTGGCGCTTCTGCTGAACCCTGAAGAAGCACCAGTCAGCTGGAATGTTGCAACATCTCCAAGGTCTTGTGATTTACATTCAGATGCGTGGCAACTGATTCATATTTATGATGGTCACAGTGTCCCAGGGTCATGTGAAGTGACCAAGACCTGCTGCAACCACCCATCAGATGGGGGAAATAAAAGCCACACACACCCCACCCCACTGCCAATCCTCAACAGAAATGCTCACAACAATGGAAACCTTGGACAGGAGAAAGAGCACCGCCAGGTGGGCAGGCAGGTGTCTTGCTCAGTTGTGGCTTGGGGGGCACTTTTTTTCAGTGCCATTGTAACTTCAGACAGTCACTAAGCGAACTGTTGTAAGTGAAGGACTACCTGTACTTCATCACTTTTTTCCCTTTTTGGGGGGGGGTCATCAAGTTTTTGACACCTTGCTAGGCGACTGGTGATACTCGGATATTGCCGTATCCTAAAAGTGATACAATGGGTGAAAAGGTTGAAAACCCCTGTTTTAGACTATCTGTGATAGGTCAAACATTCCTTATACTGATTGCAGAATAATCACAAATAACCTGCCATGATCAGTGCCTGTGGAATAAAATCTGAAATCTCTACCTCTTAGGTCTATATCTGTGAAATGAAAGAAACCAAGCTAAACAAGTGTTTGCTACATGAAGTCACACATCTCTTCACCTTCAATCTTTTGTGCACACAGAGCAGTCTTAAACTTATCAGGACTTCCTTCACATACGAAGGAGGATACAGCTGGGAACAGATACAGTTTCTCAGATACTAGAGAACCCTAGGTCTTTTCATCTGCTGCTACTTATTGCTGCCTCTTTGTCACCACTCTTGTTCAATCCAGGAAATTTTTGGATGCCACTTGATGGAGCAGGACAAGATTTTGAAATTCCAGACACATTTTAGAAATCTTTTGGAAGGCTTTCCATGTTTTTCCATGCCTGTTTCCATTTTCAGTATCTTCACAAATCTGTTTCTTGTCTCTGCTTCTTCTTGCCTCTTTAGCAGCTTTCTGAAACTCTTAAGTCAGAGGTCCCCAACCGTGGCCCCTTTATGACTTGTGGACTTCAACATGGCTGGCTGAGGAATTCTGGGAGTTGAAGTCCACAAGTCATAAAGTGGCCAAGGTTGAGGACCCCTGCTCCAAGTGCTTTTCTAAGTTTTTTTGCCTTTCTTGGCTTTGGCCTCTTTTGTCTTCTTGGCAATTTCCATGGTTTATTCTGATATCCAGTTTGTGTTCTTCTGTTTCTTCATCTTGGCAATCTTTCTTCACATTCATCCTTAACAACAACATTTCACACTTCCTCTAGTTTATTAATAAAATTCAGGACGTCAGAGCAAATTCTGATGTTCTCCTTGAAAATAATTGGAAATAGTCAAGGTCAGATTGAAGAAACTGATTGACTTTCTTTTTTCTTTTAACTTAACTTGGAATTTTGTTTCTTTATCTATTTTTTATGGCTGTCCTGAGATAATTTTTGAAATGGGCTGCCTTTATAAATTGGATAAATAAATAAATCTTTAACAAAAGCAGTTCATGATATGTTGTAGAGTCACTATGATCATGTTTTTTATGCTATAACTGAGCTTCTCCACCTCCTTTTAAGAGTATTATGATCAATTTGATTTCTGTATATTCCATATGGTGATGTCTGTGTATACAGCTATAATTTTGGCCATTAATCCATAAATATCAACTTTCAATTGAACCATTTAGGTTCAATGCACTATATACCACTTCTTAGTTTTAAGCTTTTTATTTTTTTCTTTTCAACAGTAGCTTCTGAAAACAAGAACATCAGTGATTTCAGTATCCTTTGTATTAATCTTAATTTAAATGCACTTTATATTCTAAAAACATTGCTCATGAAAATAAAATAAAAATGCTACAAATCTTTATGAATTGATATTTGAATAATTCTTGTGAAGGCATGCCATTATATTTAGGAGTAATGAGCACATATTAGTTCCAAGCACTGATTTATGTTAGCATAATAACAATCCAGAACTGTAATTACCAGGGGAAAATATTTATATACTTGCTAGTATGGGAAAGAACGACGATAGATAGCTATCATCTACAATATCTATCTATCATGCATCTATCTATCTATCTATCTATCTATCTATCTATCTATCTATCTATCTATCGTATCTCTCTCATTCTATCTGTTTGTAGACATTGCAAAGGAAAGATTTTTCTGTTGCTTCCTAGCAACATTAAAATATCATTGCATAAAAGTATTCTAGAGACAAATAAACTATAATTTTAATCATACTAGCTTTCATCCAGTAAATGGAATCATAATTGCTTTAGGGAAAATATATTTGAACATTAAACTAAAAATCATTTTTGTGACAATTAGTATGCATTTTTTGGAGGGGACATATCCCCATGCTTTATTATGATTTCAGTTCACTCACTTTCAAATGCTATTCCAAGAAAACGTATTTTCAACACAGATACTTTGATCACTATAATTTCCCCTTTTTTACAAGGTAATTGTATATTTTGATTTTCATACAACGTTGTACATATAATAGACCAAACACCTCCTTTATTAGCCAAATGGTATTTTGCAAACTGGTTTCCTAGGGAACAAATGCAAGTGATAATAGGACATCATTAATCAATATAAGAAATATTTTGTTGTCAATTTTAAATGTTTGTCTTCAGGCAATCAGTGCAAATGCAGAGTGCTAACTTTAAAACAGCCTTCTATACGCCATCTAGTATTCATCACATAAGAGATGCCTAGTGCCGCTAGGAAAATAAAATGTGAAGTCAACCAAGCATTGATGAGAATCTTCATTAGACCTTACTTTGTGGCTATAAGAGCAATGAAGAGAATTCACTTTGCAGCCAGCCCTGTGACCAGGTCCTTTTTTTAGGTAAATAGGGGCTGGGGGAGCTCTAACAGGAATGTTGCAAGGAATATTCCCAACAACTATTGCACAAATTCACTCAGCTTCAACTCAGAGTTGGCTCTGGCCTGGCAGTTCCTATGGAGGTGACTAAGGCTCATTTGAATTCAGTTATTTGTGAAGAGTTTGAACTGGTTGACCATGAGGAGATAGGCAGAGTCCGTGCATCTGCAAGTTTGACCATCTGTATTTTGGACCAGTCTTAAGTTCTCCTAGAACAGTGTTTCTCAACCTTGACAATTTTAAGGCATGTGGACTTCAACTCCCAGAATTCCACAGCCAGCAATGCTGGCTGTGGAATTCTGGGAGTTGAAGTCCACATGCCTTAAAATTGTCAAGGTTGAGAAACACTGTCCTAGAAGGTGGTGGTTGGTTGAGTGACAGCAATGATTAATGCCTCCATGCAGCAAGGGTTAAATACAACCTGCCTTGAAGAAGATGCTAGTGCATCCCCTTCTCAAGAGGCCTCCTTGGACCAACAATATTAGACAACTTTTGTCCAGATTCCAACCCTTTCTAGGGAAGTTTGACAAGAGAATGGAAAAGTCAGAGGGCCCTGAAGTGGACTCTCTGGATTCTTTTCAGTCTGGTTTCATTGGAGTTAATCTATGCTCATCTGGGTGTTGATTGCGGATGGAGAGGTGTTTTGGTCTTTCTGTTCCCTTTTTGGCTTGTTGGTTGTCTCTTTTGCATAGCATGTAGCTATTGTTTATGTCTGTGTGTGTATTCTTGGCTAATTTATCAGAATGCCAGGCTTCTAGAAATGCCCTAGTGTTTTTGGATTTGGCTTGGTCTAGGATGGTCACAGTTTCCCAAATGAAACTCTGGTTAAGCCTGTCCATATGTTGTGAAATTAAACAGTTTTCTTCATGTCTTCTGACTGCTAGTTGGTGTTTATGTATTCTGCCAGTCTTCTGCCTGTTTGTCCTACATAGTGACTGTTGCAGTCTTTACACAGTATTGTTGAAAGAAAAATCTTCAGGTCCAGTCCAAGCCGGAAATAAACAAAACGGAGGCTGCTTGGAAAGAAGGTTGTTCTTTATGTTGTTACGAGAAACTTCAGTGACACAGCATGTTTCTGGGGTAACTGACCAAGATGGAGTGGAGAGTGGTGGGTTTTATACCTTCTATTGAGATGCTCCAGGGGATTGTGCCATGTACTGAGCCTTGTGTCAGTGATGGTGGGTTAATCCTATTATGTCCTAAATTTTACATCTTTAGACTTTGGGTGGGGGATGTAGATTTTTGGGGGGTCTTTGTCTTTCTAATCCCATCAGCTCCAAGCTTCCAGGCTCCAGTCTTTCTGAAAGGATTACTGAATCTGCATTTCTAAAAGCTGGTTTCTGCTTGGGGTAGGGAGAGGGGGTTGGTTTCTGAGGGCTGGTTTCTGTCTATGATTTTTCTATTATTCCTTTTTAATATTCCCCAAAATATTTCCTTCTCTGGGATTGGGGTGCTGACTTTCTACAGTATGTTGTAGATGAGTCCTATTTTTTCTTCTGGGACTGCTGGGTCTTTTGGCTTATTCAGGATGTTTTGAAGGGATTAGTCGGCTTGTGTGCTACGCTGATTCTGTGTGGTTGTGATAGTCTGCCGGTGGTTTCTGAGATGTTCTTGATGTTCTCCACTAGCATATATCAAGGTTTCTGAGATGTTCTTGATGTACTATATGTTGGTGATTTCTGGGATCCATATCATCTTCTCAGAAATCACCAACAGACTGGAGTCCAAGCTATATTGTTCCAGATTGATTGAATAAATGGGAATATGAATATGTATGAGATTGATGGAAACATAAAGGTACTTTTTCTGAAGGCAACTGGACTTCCTCGGTTTTTTTCTTTGAAAACATTTTGCTTTTCATCCAAGAAGCTTCTTCAGTTCTAACTGACTGGTGGGGAAAAGGAAGGGCTTATATTCTTTGCAGTCTTCTGGTCATTAGCATTTCCCATTATGGAAGCTATATAATAATGCAAACAATACTAAAAGGTAATAGAATTCCAAGGTGGAAAGAGACGAGAGACAGGCTGCAGATAATTAGAGTGAAAAAGGATGGGGGGGGGGCAATGACTAGAACATTTTAAATAAGATAGATACTGATTCGCCCTTTGGAGCAAATAAATTATCATTCTATCAATAAGCATGTTTTTTTTAAAAATTGATGTTTCTCATTAATTTATGTGATTTATCCACCACTTTAATCCTATGGAATAATAATAATGAAAATAATATAATTACATAATAGTTAGTACAGCAAAATTTAAGCACCCAGGACACCAAAATCTGTCTTCTAGGGAGCACGCTGGCTGAGGAATTCTGGGAGTTGAAGTCCACAAGTCTTAAAGTTACCAAGTTTGGAGACTCCCATTCTAGAAGATCGTCTGACAGAGCCAAGTTTTTATTAGCCTCCATATAGCCATGAAGTAGGGGTCATCCTCACCTTGCTAAGCAGACTGTTCACACGAGAGCTGTTAAGGAGAATATTTGCCACTGAGCCGTTTAAGAGAAGCAGCTGAATTGCCAGAAATAATATGGTTATACAGTGTAATGTTGTCAAATACATTTTTCACTGTTTATAATCAACCAGCCCCTTAAGTAAATGAGAGACAGAATGTAATTTCCTCATATGTAAGATACTACATTTCAAGGAAAAATATCAATAAATACGTTTATATTGAGATGAACATTTAAAATCTTCAGCAAGGATTTTGTACCCTAAAATTAACTTAGGATATTTTTTGCCACTTTTGAGCACCTAGACCAATTCTATCACATACACATACATATGGAATATTCTCCCCTTTGTTCATGTATATGTAAAGAAGATAGTTTTTTTTTTTTTTTTTTGAACCGACATGTTTTGGCAGCACGTTACCTTATCTCTCTGTACAGGAAAGCAGTGAACCACAGATATTACCTGAAAATGTCAAGATACTGGGATGTATTCAAATCATCTTTCTGGCATGTAATTTTTGTTTTAAGGCTGCATAGCATTTGTGTCCATGGAGATGATTTTGCAATGCAAAATAACAAGCAGATTGAAGTTTAGGCGCTGAAATACATAAACATCCCATAAAGAAGTCATTCGGGCATGATCATCCAACCTATTTAAACATTTTTCAATAATAGAAACTTTCTTGTGATTATAATCAGTGACTGAACTTCTTGAGATCTTATAATAATATGTGAGCAAACAAACTGAAAAATCAAACCTTCATTTACTACAGACCCTCAACAATTTTGTGAAATGCTTTTTATACGTGAAAGATAGCGTAAGTGTTATTGTACATGAAGAAATCAGAAAAAAAATCATTTATACTTCACGATTTATTTTTAGAGGTAGGAAATTATTTCATGAGAGATGCTCCTCCATCAGCTGGAAATAATAATAATAATAATGCAACTTTTCCACTTTGTTTGAACAGGGCTCAGGATTCATTTAGAGTACAATGGAATTGTTTCAGTTTCTTTAAATTGGTAAGCCATCAGGGACCATGTGTAGACCTACAAAACAGTCTCATAAATAGTATGCAGAAACAAGACCCACTAAATTTTGCTGTCATTCTGCCAAGCCAACATGTGTTAAATAGGAACATTAATCATTTTACTGCAGACATGTCAAACTCGCAACGTCACGTGACGTCCCGCAATGTATCGGGACGGTTTTGCCATTGCCGGCAATGGGGTGGGCGCAGCTTCCGGATGACACCTCCGACCCACGGGCCAGCAGTTTGACACCCCTGTTTTACTGGAACATTAATATATAATTCCCTTTTGCCCCTTATACAGGTAGTCCTCAACATACGACCACAATGGAGCCCAAACTTTATGTTGCTAAGCGAGACATTTGTTAAGTGAGTTTTGCCCCATTTTATGACCTTTCTTGCCACAGTTATTAAGTGAATCACGGGAGTTGTTAAGTTAGTTACATGTTTGTTAAGTGAATCTGGTCTTCCCCATTGTCTTTGCTTGTCAGAAGGTCACAAAAGGGGATCACATGACTCCAGGGCCCTGCAACCGTCATAAATGTGAGTCAGTTGTCAACTGTCTGCATTTTGATCGCGTGACCATGGGCATGTTGCAGCGGTCATAAGTGTGAAAAATGGTCATACGTCACTTTTTTCAGTGATGTAACTTTGAACATTCGCTAAATAAACTGTCATAAGTCGCAGATGACCTGTACCAAGTTCTCAGAACTTGTACGCTACCTTGACTTATACAGATATTGTAGTGGCCATTTAGAGACCATTATCGGCCACATAAAATATGTTTTTCTCTCTCTCTCAAATGAGACCCATTCTGCTTGTCCTTGGCTTATACATCTTTATATTGCCCTTTCACTTCTTTCTCAGTAGCTTTCAGGCAAGCGACACAAAATTGAGATTACACAGACCAATGCCAATGTTGGTATTCATGAACTGTGATTGTATAGTAGATGTTTTCGAAAGACACGCACCATAGAGTTTTAAAGTGCTTTTTCCCCCTTTTTTTTTTGCTCAGCTTCTAATTAGTTGACATCAGCTTGGCCTGAATATACCATATTGCACTTCTGGAAGTAATTTTCCTTTCAAGCAAATGAATGACAGTCAAGCATATGCACGAACCCATTGAATGTAATGCCTGTGTTTAATCATTCAGAACAAGTGCTAACTCTTAGGACAAGTGGCAGAACTGAAAACACTGATTTAATCACAATGCCTTCCCTCTCCAGTGAAAGCGTCCAAATGAGAAGCACTGAATTTGTCCCTTTGTGCCTCTGCCTTTCCTTCTGCCCTGTCAATTTGTATCCAGGGCTCATCAGAGACATTTGAAGCGTGACAAGAGATGGACCTTCCCCCACCATTTACAAAGCGGACAATTGGCAGATGAAATGTACTTCAGCAAGAGTGATGGGATAGGGCCCTTCGCTGTGTGGTGCATCTGAAGGTGCCAAACTACTTGGCAAAGCAGAAATTATTGTTGTTATTCCAGAAATAGAGTCATTAATATCAACAGTACATAAACTCTGTTTTCTCATTGACTGCTGCCACTTTCTGAAACAGCCTACCTTCGGAGATATGGACTGCCCTAACTTCTTAGCCTTAAAAATGGACTGAATGCTGGTTTTTGTACAAAGTTTTGGGGCACTGATGATGCAAGGATTACTTAGTAATAGTTAGATATAACATTGTTGTGTCTTACTGTTTTACTTTGCTTGTTTCTGATCGTAAACTATTTTGGGTTTACTGAGGTAGGCAGCATGTAAATCTTGGTTAAAGAAATAAGTAAATAAATACATACAGCAATCAACTGCACAATTCTTATGCTCCTTTATGAAAATCTAGGGTCAACATGAAAGACCCAGAGTATTAGATTATGATTTCCACAATTTCCAGTTAGCTTAATTAAAAACAGGGAATTATGAAACTGTAATCTGATACGTCTGGAGGGCATTACAATAAGGGAAAATGCTCCATTCATTTAAAAATATTGATATAGCCTGCCAAGATAAACAAAGCACACCCATTACTTTGAATTCCTGCTCCTTGAAAAATAATCATTTTTAAAAAATAAAATGTAAAAAGAATAGAGTTTCAAAAGACAAATATTCTTTCTTTATCCCAGAATATCCTTGTAACATTATCTGTATCTTAATGATTCCCCCATAAATTTTGAAGTAATTGAATAAAATATGTTTTTTGAAAGGAAGGTGAAATACAAAGGAACTACAAGAGATATTTTCAGCTGCACGTAGCCTTGTATTTTAGTAATAGTATTACCGGAACTAAATTATAAACAAATGTAAAAGCCTCCTGATCAGCATTCTGGGGTTGGAAAGGTTGAGAAACACTGACCTAAGGAAACAAAGAGGCCTCATATCAATCCCTAGACTGACATGTGTCATTAGGGATCAGTGGGGTGGATAGCATTCCCATTGCAATGTGCCCCTTCTCTTCCTTAAAACAAATACCAAATTTGATGCTAAATGTAGATGGATGGAAGTTTTTGTAAACAGTTCTGTTGCTCTTTTTGGAAACAACGAAAGTGCTTGTTCCCAAGATAAGTTAAAAAAAAAAAAAAGAATGATGGGCATATTGTGATGTTCCACACTCAAAAATTATCATAATCATGAATGTAATTCCTTTCCAGAAAAAATATTTAATATCTGAGCTAATCATACTCCGAATAAGCTGAAATTTGCATGCATGTAGTAAGATGCTATTGGTGTTTCTTCAGTATCTGTTGTTAATGGAACATAGCTGTGCTGCGTCAGAAACAACAACCCTTTGGGCAACATGCTTCTCATTTGATCTCCTCTGTTTTAGGTTGAACAGATATTTTACAGTATAGAATACAGTGGGATAAAGCTTTGTAAACTGTGGCACAGCAACAAGGCAAAGTTGGAGCCTTTTCCTTGGGGAAAGAAGGGCAAGAAGCAACACCACACACTAGCCTACCCTAAGCTGCCCCAGGTCCTGGAGCATTCTCAATTGCAAGGAGAAAGTTTGGTGGTAGGTGTTGCAAAGAGCAGTATCTGTATAGAAAATGATGGAGACACATTCATACCTGTTTCTGTTACTCTTTTATAACTATTTATATGCACTGAGAAAAGCTGGACTAGGCCTAATGCAAAGAATAAATATTTCAATTACCCCAGCTGCATTAAATTAAATTACATTTTGGCCTAGAATTTACAACGTATCAAAAAAAAAAATAGAAAAATACAAATTATAACAATACCACCTTTATAAGTTATATCATGTGTTTCCATTCATTTATATGATGGTGGTTGGTGATGGTGTGAAGATACAGTGTTCTCCAATCTTGTACTTAGCTTCCTGCCTTCCAAACTTCCATAATTCCCAGACAATTTTCTTCCTTCCTTCCTTCCTTCCTTCCTTCCTTCCTTCCTTCCTTCCTTCCTTCCTTCCTTTCCTTCCTTTCTTCTTTCTTTCTTTCTTTCTTTCTTTCTTTCTTCTTTCTTTCTTTCCATTTCAACAAGTGACTTTAGTTTGTTCTATTTAAAGTCATAGCAATTTGACACACACAAATAATGGATTCCAAAAAATTGAATTATCTTTTGGGAGACCCATTTTTTTTATATACATGAAGGTTCAGAATATGAAGATTTATGCTTGCATTTTCATGTTTCTTCTCCCTCATAACAGGTAAGAGGCTTGACTGTCAACTAACCTTAGAACATATTGGTTGTGATTTTTATACATTCGGAAGCTGAACTAGGAAATCAGAATAATTTGCAAAACTCACCATGCAACATTTAGTTGCAGCTCAAGTATTTTATCCTTTTAAGTTCACATAAGTTCCTACCCCATCTTCACCTTTTCTGTTCTGATCTTTCTGATCTTTGTCTTCCTGATAACTTTTTGCCACTTTGCATTGTATTAGAGTTTGCAAGAGATTTGTTGCATACTTTTTTTTAATAAAGTGCTTCCACTGTTAAACACTCCTCAGCATGCTGTTCTTAGTTTGTCTGTGTATGAGCCTTTGCTTCCTCTGTTTTAGGTGTGACCGGGTATTAATCTCACATCCAACACAAACCAGCTCAGTGTACAGAAGCCAGATACCCACTGATCACTGACTGTATTTGTCAGTGTAAAGGAAACCATTTAATAAGCTCAGCACATTCCATTGGCTGCTCTCAAAAAGTCTCTGGTGGAATCAAGAAACTTGCAGGAAATTGGAAACAAAACAAAATGTTCAGTCAGACACTTCATCGCAATTTCTAAGAAGTGATTCTTAAGAATGGAAGTTTTAACAGATTGTCAACATGATAAAGCAGTGCCCAAAGGGCTTTTATTGGGCTTCATCACCACTCTTCTATTTAAATGCTCAAAGCCTGCTGTTGGAATATAGTCCAAACATATTAATAGATCTCAATGTTTTTGTATTGCAAATATTCAAAGCCAATGTGTACACGATCTACACCAGAACTCTGTTTTGTTTCTGACGTTCTGCTTGCAAGTTCTCCAGAAAGTGTTTGCATATAATAGGTATGCTGTAATTGATAAAATATCCACAATAATAGTTGCTGGTTTTAGTACATGAATGTGA